CTTATTTTATTCTGTATTAAAATAGCTTACGAATTGCGAGAGCAGAATTATAACAAAGCGGAAATTAGATATCAAATTTAATGTTTACTTATTTCAGTGCACATCTTAAGCATTTTAAATTTCGAAAAGAAAAGAAAAAACTTCTGATAATGAAAATTCTTATTTTAATTAAAATCTTCTAAAAGAATGAAAATTCTTATTTTAATTAAAATCTTCTAAAAAATAAAACAGCATTAAAATCTTGATCAAAAACCTATTTTTCAATCAAACAGAAAGAGATACAAAAACACTAAACTACAGTAGAATATCCAAACTCTGAATTCGTTCAACGGACGAATTATATGTCTGTATCTAATTAAATTTAGTCCCACACCTCTTGCATTATTAATCAAAATTCTCTAAGATAGAAGTTCCCAGAAATTTTCAAAAGAAACAAACATCCTTCAAAGTTCGTTTTGTGCCCTAGTACAGTATACATTTAACAAATTAGTTATAATTACGAATAACTCTTAATTGATGTAACCTTATAACATCAGAAGACATTTATAATATCAGATGACAAAATCAATTAACAGGATAACACATTACTCTGCACTTCGTTTTCAGCAAAACTGTGCATAAAGTAAAACAGAACAAAGAAAAACAAAAAAAGGTAAAATTTCCGACTGACTGAAACGTAAACTGATTTTTATAGAAATAAAGAATCTTTTAACTACACAATGGGGCTCAGCCCCCGGCTCACTATCGCTCGAAAATTTTTAATTTTCTGCTTTTAGTTTTTACTTTGCATCGAAAAATCTAAAAAAAAATGGTAATTTAAAATATTTAATTATTCCAAACCCTAGTTTAAAATTTAAACTAAGTGAGAAGAATTAAAAATTTTTGAATATATAGGTTAACTGCAAAAAAAAAAAATTTTTTTTTTAAAATTATAATTACCTTGCTAAATTGAATTATTCGACGGGAAAAAAATCGAATTTGACATATAATTATTCAAGAACTAATGTTCGTATCAGTGACATTTTCATTTCCGAATGCGATGACAACTGCATTCTTTTTTTTTTTTTTTTTTTTTTGAGACAAAGTCTTCCTTTANTTTTTTTTTTTTTTTTTTTTTTTTTTTTTTTTAGTATACAGATATTAGCTCAAAAAAGTGTTAAGAGGAAGTCACACTCAGAAAAAAGTCAGGTCAAAACTACCAGATTATGGTAAAATTTATCATGCTTCTGACTCAGCAGTGAGAAGCACATAAAATCTAGTTAATTTTAAACGAAGCGCTTTAGTAATCAGTTTGTTAAAATTAAAAATATAATAAAGTTTTATAATATGTGATAAAATTCGCTAAATGTGATAAAATTTAGTAGTTTTATCATGACCTTAGACATGCCATAAAAACTATTTAATCTGTTAAATTTACTTTTCAGTTTCGAATTTTTTCTAAAGGTGTGGTAATAAGAACTATCATTTTTAAAACAAAGTTTTCTAGTACACTGATACATCACAAACGGAAACAGTACTAAATGCTAGGTTTAAATACCGTTTACTTTGGTTTTTTATTGCTAAAAATATGATTTTTTTTTTTTTTGTGCAGGAAATGTCATTAACATGCAGTATGTTAATTTTACCAGAATATTTTTCTCCGTTCAACTTAACGGAAAATGTAAAGATTTATTTACTTTGAATTCAATTGAAATAATATCAATGGCCGTATTTTTCTATAGTACAAGTTAATTTCTTTACGCACTTGGTAAAATTTTTAAATGCAGGAATTTTCCTTTGTAGTTTGAAACAGCCCAAGAATTCCATATCTTTTATTAGCTATTATCTAAAATAAATTGTTTCTGAAATTTTGCAGTTAAATGATTTTCACAAACTTTTAGTTGCTTGCAGCTCCTATTCTGCTTCGTAAAGTTTCTTAAAGTTCTTCGTAAAGTTAAACTTTTGTAAACTCGAGATACACTTTTCTTTTGTCACTGAACTATTATAAGGTAAATTTGAAAAAATTTTCTTTCCAGTATTGCATGAAATATATGGATATCGAAGAGCGGTATTTTAAAATTTAGTAAAATTTTTTTAACTAGAAGTATATTAAAAAATCATTAAACTTTAGAAGAAGATTTTGCTAAATTTTTCACGTTAGCATGTTTGTATTGAGATCCAAAATCTTATGTTTAAAAATCATTTTATAGATCATCTTCAACAGAAAAAGAAATCTCACACATTATTTAAAATGTTAAACAGGCTTTCGCCATTCTAAATAAAAAAGTTTTTGATATTTCTGTGGCTGCAGAGTAAAGTATGATCATTTCTTCCTGAATAAGATTTAAAGCAATTAAAGGTTTTGTTTCATACGTGACGCGTAAAATTAATTAATAAATTCGCCAAAAAATATGTTGCAAATATGCATGCATGCCTGAAATATCTTAAAGCGAATTGTGAATACATAAATAATTTTATTCATATTCAGTAAAAAAACCTGTGTAAAATTGTAATTTCTGATTGTCCCTGTGGCATGGATTTGTTCTACATCATTGTTATATTTATAACTTAAGAATTTACACCCTAAAATCAGCGTATTATTCGACTAAATATAAACGTTAAAAATTAATTTTAAAACCAATTTTCAGTAGTAAATTAAATGAATTTCATAATAGTTAAAGCTAAACAATCATAAAGAATAAAGATAATAATAATTAATAATAATAATATAAGCTAAACAATCATAAAGAATAAAGTTAATTAATCATATTCCATAAAAAAAGTATTTTATTTTTCTTAATTATTTACTAATTAATTCATAACCTTTTAAATTAATAAATTATACTTTAAATTCAGTTCAGTGAAAAGAAATCAGTTTCATGACATTTTAAATTAATTAAAAATATTACGAGGTAATTTAAAGACAGATGCTTATATAACTAACATTTTAACTAACATCAATTCAAAATCATCTTTTGAAAAATAAAACTGTATTTCCAAGTGTCATTATATTTATTCTCTTAACTTATCAACCTTAGTCAAATATGCTGATTTTTCCTTTAGTTTATTTATGTTATCAGCTGTTTTAATAATATTACTCTTGTTTTAGTTTCTGTGTAGTTATATTGTGAGACAACCACTTCTCAAAATTCTTATCTAACCTAAACCATCTTAAAGTTATCATTCCTGGAAAATCTCAAACTTCGCAGCAGTAATTTCTCATTCAGGACATATTGTCGCTTATCTAGTTTTGAAACGAAAGTCATTTTTGAAAGAAAAAAAAGAAAAAGGAAGAACTATAACAATAGAATTTTCTAATTTTCTAGTCATTGAATAAAGTCAGTCTTCTTGAACTAATTTTTTTTACAATAAAACAAGCATCAGTAATGTTGCATTCAAATAAATAAATAGAGCGGTAAAAGTTTAGCTTCGATATTTTTCTGATATTGTATTCAAAAATTAAAACTTAACATCATGTGAAACAGGAAAAACTTTAAAATTTTAATATTAATATAAAAATGCTTTTTTTTATTTTGACTTGACGTTTTTTGAGACTTTTCCCTACATGCAATGAAAAAAATGCGATGTATTTATTATCTGTATTTATTATCTATTTATTATCTGTATGAAATCTGCATACTGTATTTGAATCACTCAGAAGAAAGCATTTCCAAAAATTTAGCAACTGAAATAATTTACTATGATTTTTTGACCTCGATAAAAACTGTAACCGTTAATTACAATTATGTATAATTAATTATAATTAAAATCCCTAATACAAGATTATTGATTATATTTTATTAGTTACAATTTGTACAATCCTTAATGGATACAAAAGGATGAAACTAGATCCAGTTAATATTAATACATATTCGTCTGCATGACCAAAATTTGTATTTTCATAGTCAATTACGAAAATTCGAAAGTTTAAACATGTAAGTAACAGATAAAATCAGAGGGCCGATCCGAGGTAAGGTATATAGCCCTGTAAGGTATAGGCCTAGTAAGCGGCTGCTTAGGGCGCCGGACTCAAATAAAACTTAATTTAAAAAAAAAAAAAAATTAAAAAAAGACACTTCTTGCAGTTTTTTTCTTTAGTAAAAGCTTTTTTTCCTCGATTGCTTCTTCAAAAATAAAAGAACTTATTTTCCTATAATAAAATGTTAAAATATATCTAATAGTTTAATGACAACGTAACCCTTCAATCTGTTTGACAATGCAGCATTCCTTGTCTTAAATACTAAAACTTGTAGACTGAATTCATTATAAAATCAGGAATAAAATTTATTTTACTCCGTACTTTTTTATTATTACCCTTATTTTTGGAGATCTCGGGGCTTCAAAAATATTTTTGCTTAGACTTAAAAATCAGCACGGATGGCCCTGGATAAAATACCCATTGTAAAAATTAAATTAGAAAAGATTTTAAAAAATATCTTTCAAAAGGTCTTCTGTATTTACAAATTTTTTTCAAAAAGCGCCAGTTAAAACTTATAACATTTTCTGAAAAGTTATAATTTGAAACTCAGAACATAGAACATTTTCCATAAGGTGTAAGATAAAACTAATAGCATGAAACATTTTCCAAAAACTATTGAGTTGAAATTCATTTAAATGGGGAGGATGCAGTTTTTTGTATCGACAGGCATATGAGGAGCTTTCATTTCATTAAAATAAGGTTTTCTCAAAACATTATTTTGCATACTGGTAGAATCGATTACTTCTTCAATTTTCACTCGATTTGTTTAAAAATATAACACCATGCATTTAATTAAGTTTCGGTTGCAAATTCAATTTTTTTATTGTGTTTATTATTTTTGATAAATGCAATGATAAATTACAACTTTTACAATTAATCCGTATTGTTTTTTGATTTTTTACACGGCACGACATTTTTAGTAAAATTCATAGGTTGGGGAACATAAATGAGAAGTTTTTATATAACATTTTCAGCAGTTAAAACAAAAACACACCAATGCTTATGTTTCTCATTTATTATAACTATTATTTCTTTCTTTTAGAATCAATCGGGTTTTTTGAGAATCAAATATAAATACTTGATTCAAGATTCAAGTGACTAAACAGCAAAATGGATTCAGATGCCTTTTTGGATTTAACAGAAATCCAAAAGTTTTTCTTTGGACGCTCCATTTTCATAACTGGTGGTACTGGTTTAGTAGGAAAAGTAAGTGATTTTGATCTATAATTGACAAAAATAAGTGCAAAATAACATCAATAATGTTATTTTATTGTTAATATATATTTATCGTTACCTTAACAAAGAGCTATAATGCCTTAAAAATTAAACTCAATGCCTTAATCGAAAAAACAAATTCATCTATCAATGTCCATTTTAGGGTGAAACTGAAATTCTACACTTTGCGGGAAAAATTCATCTGCTTGTGCAGAATTTTTTTTTCTCCAGGCTATTAAGAAACACAATTTTTAATGAAAAAATTTGTTTTGTAAACGTACCTTTACTGTTTCTTTACTTTATTCCTCAACCGAGCTTTTCATTTATTACACATACGTAAGCGATGGCAAATCAAAATAAAAATAAAAAATTCGATTTTGCACACATACTGTGAATATTTTGTGTCATATTTTAAGGATTAGATTAGAAATTTATAAAGTAATGTCAAAAAGGAAAATTATACAAATAATATTCTATAACCTGGATGCATTGATTAATGTTTTTTATTTTATTTTAAAGTAATAACACTTGTAATAATCTATTTATTTAGAATTTTTTTTAATTACTTTACTTTGCAATGATGATCTTCTATTCTTTTCATTCCATAATTCTTATAGTAATTGTATTAATGCAAGATTTAGAAACATCTTAAGTGGTTAACTTAAATTATGAATATTTTCGAAAATAACCAAAAGGTTCTCGACCCAATAATATCGCACTTTTCATTCTGGAATTTTTGCACTTTATTTTTACTATACATTTGGTTAAGCAGTGTCAAAACCTTTCTTTGGATTTAAAGTTCAAAGCTTTTTTGATATTTATTTATTTATTTTGAGTCTGTTATTAAAGATTTGAGTAAAAAAAAAATTAACAATGTTTGACGTTACGAACAATTATACTATTCCTGAGTGTCCTAGCATTCCAACAAGGACGTAATCGAAATATAAAATGAGGATACCCTGAAAATAGGCAATATCTATACATGATTCTTTTCTTAAAGCAGCTTTATTAAAATTATGCTTGTGTTGGCATTTGTGTATAAGAAGATATTCTAATAAAGGTACGTAAAACATTTTATTAATATGGTACATCATTTGGCATTTGACATAGATTTTTAATAAGCTGTTCTACCGAAACTCTGCCGTAGGTAAGCAAATAACTGTTACATTAAACAATCAATAAGGTATGTATTTTGGGGAAACCATTTTTTCGTATATCAATGGACTGTGAAAGTTGATCATTGCTTTTAGAACTAGTTGATCATTTTTTTCATTCCTATATGAACTCAAAATGAAACTTTTTGCTTTTCTAGGTTTTAACAGCTTTTTAAACTCGTTTATTATTTTACTTTTCTGTGGGAATTTTTTACATTTTATGTTTTTATCTGAATTATCTATTAAATTCATGGAACGAAAATTCCAAAATGTATCGCAGAACTAATGAATAACATGATTATTGTAGATTATTAATTATTCAGATCAAATGATTTTAGGAGACTTTTGTGCATTAAATCCATTGTCATTTAAAATTTTAAATAAGATGTAGAATGTATCTAACATGTTTCTTAGTCAACCTTTTGTGATTGATTAAGGCAAACACAATTAAAGAAAAGTGTGATCCAAAGCTTGCATATCCAAATTAAAAAATCTCGAATTTTCAATTCGATCGAAGAGCTCATAAATCTATTTAATGTAGCAAATTTCATTTCAACTTCTGCGAAAACCAAACTTTAAAAATTTATTGAATGTTTTTTAACAAACAACATTTTTAGTGCAATACAAAAAAGCATATTGTACTGGCGCGATATGAGAAAAAAAAGATTTTTTTCCTCAAAAAAATGAATATGACTTTATATTTGAAATTTTAATACACTTTGCTCTTAACTCATTTATGCTTAGCGTCCTTTTAAAAAGAAAATTAATTTTTTTTAAAAAGAAAAAAGTGGTAGAACAAATAGGTCATTGCAAGCATTTATTGCGCTGATAAGAAGTTCTGCCAACCATAATATAATAATATGTACTAATATAACTGAACTTGAAGAAAGTCACATTTTCAAAAGATAGGCAACAAAAAGAAATATATACTTGATATAAACAAATTAGTAAATTACCACTTTTTTCAGATAGTAGTTTTTCATATATGAGCCACTTTTTGTGCTAGGCATGAATGGGTAAATAAGCATTTATTTTTTCCATTCAAGGCATGTCACTCAATCTAATTTGAATTTCTAAATATTTATATTTTCCTGCGAATCACCTATTAAATTTCTAGTACCAAACTTTTTAATAAATTAATTGCAGAACGGTTAGTCGAAGTGTTTAATTTTAACTGTATATTATAATTAACTGGTATATTATGTTATATAATTAGAATTTCAGAAATATAACCAATGAAAAATTATTTTTTATTTAACGGTAGACTTTAAAACTGATTTAAAAATTAGAAAATTCATAACATTGAAGGCTAACCAGAAGTACTTAAAAAAATAAATATTTATTTTTTTTATAAATACAAAAATAAAACTCTTATGACGATAGATTTTGATGTCTTATATTATATACAGATTTTTTTAATCCATTTATTCTTTTATGTACATAATATGATATCTTCCTAAAATATCAACTGGCGATAGGTAAATATTATTATGCAATGTTCAAATAATGTACGTCAATAACTGCTTATATTTTGGTTAAAAATACTGTGCGTGCGTAAATACCGAACGCAAACATGGTAAACTGTAAACAAAATACATAGTCGGTTTTTCTTCTTTTCAATACACTTATTCATAGTAAAAAAATTGTAAAAAAGGAAAATAAAATTAAAAATGTGTATACAGTCACTGAACTCATCATAAAAACCTGCTTTTGCCTTATACGGAGATGGCTGGTTTTGTAACAAAACGTAATTTTCAAACACGTATAAAACGCAGATTTGACCGAATTTACCATAGTTTCTCGTATTCAGTTGATAGGAAAGTTTATTTAGAGCTTGAGAAAATTACCAATTTTGCACTAATGTAACAGACATTCTACAAATAAACTTACTTTACACATACTGAACTAAATATATTAGTGTATACCCTAGTACTAAAGTATACTTATAGCAAAATCACTGCAAGGGTAAAAGTATTTTATAAATTTAAACTACATTTCAAATCGTACCTTTTTTTTACTATTACTACTGTATATTCATTTAACTGCTAATAGATAATATCGACAGATTTTCAGAATTTTTTTTTTAATTCTAAAAAAATTAACTGAATATTTAAGATCTAGGACATAATTAAGTGATGAGACACACATTATGTCTTTCCACGATTTTTCTATCTAGGGAGACGTTCTTTACCTCTTCTAGGCTCAAAAACTTTTTTTGATTGACTATTGAAAATAAAATATGCATTCTCAATTTGAATCTTATTTTTGTAGTTCATTAAAAAATTAAAACTTTGAATTTGACTTTTTAAAAAAAAATTATATCTCCCAAACTATAACAAAATAAACAGAAATTGAGATAAATGAAGCTTATATGAGAATAAAATAAATAATGTTGTGGGAATTTTCTAACTTGAATTAGAAATCTAAATAAAAAATGACACGAAATGTCCAAGAGTGAAAAAATCGGCAAGTGAAAATCGAGGTGATTTGTCTGAGCCTCACCAGAATTGAAGAGCCTAATGAAAGAAGTTCTAAGTGACATTCTGAAGAAAAAATAAAGCAAAATTTTACGTTTGAAAACCCATTTCATTAGGTTTATGGAGAGAATTTAGCGTTTTTCATTAGGTCATTGTTCCCATTGTTACTATATTTTCTAAAGCTGATCTTTCTAAGGTTTCTAAAATGTTTCTCAGAAATTTCTTCTATTACATTGTAAAAAATTCCGAATTAATTTACGGTAAAAAGTATTGGCACCCTGGGTGCATCATCCGTCATATCCATCTTACCATAAAATCAATATTTACTTAGTAATTTTCCACTGTAATTTTCACTGTAATATTTATTTAATTACAGTGATTTTACAGTACATACTACTGTAAAAAATTACGGTATACCAGATTCTTTGTCCCGTAAAATTTTACATCAAAAAATGAATTTTATGATTAAAAAAAAATGCATGCACATAAAGTACTGGTACATTTTACCGGAATACGATCCACACTTTTTACAGAGTACGCCCATTAAATTTAAAGGACATATATTTATGTAATGATAGAAGAAAAGGGAATAGTTTGAAATTTTCTTAACTAAGTACAAGCATTTATGGGACTTATAGAAATTATTTTAAAATCAAAATATATATCTGTGTATATAAATAAGAACCATGAAAAAAATATATTGCACGCCTCTAGAAGAAAAAGAAAGAATACTATTTACACAAAATATGCTAGTATTATGCTAAAAAAAAGTATCATAATCCTTGATTTTTAAAAAGCTATGAGATTTTGGAAGTAAATTAAAGATTTTTTCATATTTTCAAAATTCTATAAAGGAATTATTTGAAATTCAATCTATAATTTTTTTATTTTTTTATTTTAGGTTCTCGTTGAAAAACTTCTACGATGCTGCCCGGGAATCACCATGTTGTACCTTCTTGTAAGACCAAAGAGAAATCTCTCACCCGAAGCTCGAGGAGAGAAACTTTTTAAAACGGAGGTAAGTTGGAATTCCATTCGCAACTTAATGTATCCTGTGTTTATTAACTATTCCACTCCCTATGTTTAAGGCTTTCTTTTGGATCTTTATTTTTTTTTACATGATATTATTGTTTAAAAATTCTAATTGTAAAAATTTGATAGATTTAACATTTTATCGGGGTGGAAGGAAGGATCTTCTATGGATGTTTGACTGTGTAAAGCTAATTACAGATGGCGCTGGGGGGTTAAAATTCGTCGTAAGGCTTTTTAGTTACTACTTCCGACTGATATTTACGTCTAATCTTGAAAAAGTGTGCCATCCAATATTACTATACACTATCCGGCATAAAAGTATCCGGACACCCAGTAGTATGGAATTAGAGAGTCCCGATAGACACATATTAATATGATGTTGGTCCCCCTTTTGCGTAGATGACAATCTGGAAAGACTTTCCACCAGTTTTTGATAAGTGGTCATAGGAATTGACTTCCAGGCTTCCATCGCAGCTGAAGTGAGCGCTTGCAGTAAGGATGGTCGATTTGACTGGCTACGTAATCTGTTCTCCAATTCGTCACAAAGGTGCTTTATGAGATTTAGATCGGGGCTCTGTGAATGCTAGTCCAGTTTTTGAACACCCATTTCGTCAAACCACATCTGTACAAGCCTCGATGTGTGAATGAAGCAGTTATCTTGCTAAAGGGGAAATGGGCCTTCCCCAAAATATTGCCATACAGTTGAGAGAACAGCATTGTCCAGAAAGTTTACATAAATCTCAGAGTTCACGTTTCCAGCCACAGGAACTAACGGATCCAGTCCAAACCACGAGAAACACCCCAACACCATTATACTTCCACCACCATAAAAACCGGATGTTCGGTTGCATTCTATTTTTATTGTTGCTTTTTATAGCCATAGATAATTTTTAAAATTTTAATTTCATATTTCATTTTTTCACATCTTCATTTATCTACCTCTTTTACGTATGTTACATCAAAAAGTGCGTATTCTTTGATGTCGCTTTTTATTATATCTTTCATTAATATTTCGTGTTGTTTTTAAACAGTGACTAACGATTTTTTAATTCATTATTTTACAGCTTTTTAAAAAGTTGAAAGAAGTTTTTCCGAATTTTCCAAAGAAAGTTACATACATTGAAGGTGATCTCCAGAAGGAACGATTGGGAATATCAGATGCTGACTTCAAATTACTCCAAGACAACGTCTCTATAGTGTTTCATTCAGCGGCAAGAGTGCAATTTAACGACCCTTTACGGTAAATATGCTGCACTAGCATTTAGAATAAAATAAATAAAATTTTAAAAACTTAATAAAGAGGTAAATTCGAAACTAGTTTCTTTTAACCCACTTTATTGAGGGAGTCAGATGTTTAATTCTAGCTCAATATTAATGTATCAATAATATTGGATTGTTCTGAAAGTAATTTCATTTTTTTCTAACAGAGAACGTCTATGTATTTTTTCAGTCAACTTCACACTTGCGTCGTATAATCATTGCAAATTTTGAAAGCTGATATAAAAGGCTTACTTGTAAAAACGTTCGATTGATTCCATGCAGTGATTTTTGGTTAGTGCCCTTTCGAATAAAGAAAGTGAAACGCAGCATTTTAGGCATATTTTACTTTTTTAGTTTCGAAATGGTAAAAAGGCTGTTCAAGCAAGAGAAAAATTATCTGATGTGTATGAAAAAGATGTATTGACCGTACGCTAATGCCAAAACTGCTTTACAAAATTGCGATCCGGCAAAATTTATATTAAGATACACTAAGATACACTATACTACATAAAATTTATATTAAGATACACATCACTGTGATGAGATTAAATTTGACGAATTTCAACGTTCATGATGATTTGAAACGCCTAGGTACATTCTCAAAGCTCAAGATATAGGTTCCTCATGTTCTTACGGAAAGAAATATTTGTCGTCGCATTAAACGTCTGTGATTTACTTCTCATATATCAAGAAAAATTATCAATTTCTGAAGAGCATCATCACTGGGGACGAGAAATGGGCAGCCTACAATATTTGTTCGGTCTCTGCTGAAATTTTTAGACGGTAATACCTTTACTTCAAATGAGGAGGTCAAAAAACGCATGGATCAGCTTTTGGCAATAAAAAACAAAAATTTTATGAGCTAGGAATTATGCGACTGCCAAAAAGATGACAAAAGGTATTAACTAGAATAAACAATATATAGTAATTCAATAAAATAATTATTTACTATAAGAAAGTCTTTTAGTTCTTCCAGCAATAAATTTTGTTACCTAGATCAATAACAATAATATACCAAATACTAAAAATGCTCAATTTTGTTACCTATTCAATAAATAACATTAATGCACTAGTGACATTTAATATTATTACCCATCACAATAATATTAATGTACCAAAAATACTCAATGTTGTTTTCCAGCTCAAAAATTGAGTAATATTTTTGTTTCACTTTTTTTTTCAGACTAGCTGTGCAACACAATGTAATTGCTACTAAAGCATTTGTGGATATGTGTCACGAGCTTCCTCATGTCATAGTAAGTTGTTGTTGTTTTTTTGTCAGATAAGTTTTGTTTAAAAATTAATTTAAAATCATTCATGCTTTTATTATTTTAAATCCCATTTTGTTTGTTAATGCAGTTTAAAAATTCAAGCAGAATAGTTAGATAACTATTGAAATATTAGTTTTTGCAGGTTCTTGAAATATTTGTTGACTGAAAATTCTTGACTTTTTCCTTGTTCCTACTCTGTAAAAAGTTACGGATAAAATTACGGTAAAAAGTACAGGCACTCAGGGTGTCGGTATGTTTTACCGTAAAATCCATTTGCACCAGGACAAAAAATCGGATATTTTGGATTCTATATAATATCCGATTTTTTGTTACGGAACAATAAATAGGATATACCGTAAATTTTACAGAAATAATTACCGCAAAATCACTAAATCACTTTAATAAAACAAATATTACTATGAAAATTACGATATAATATTTTACGATAAAAATGATTTTACTGTAAAATGGATTTCACGGATGATTCACCCAAAGTGTCGACACTTTACACAGTAATTTGATCATCCCAATTTTTTTTTACAGTGTATCATTATAATACTAGATCATATTTCTAATCAAATGTTTTCAAATATTTTATTACAATACTAGCGTGCAATAAAAAAATCAACGTAAGGGACAAAAAATTTATAATTTGGATTTTTATAGATATGTTATTTTCGTATCATAAGCTACGTGTTACAAGAATTGTTACAAGTTTTTTTTATTAGATTTTTGATATTCCATTTTAGCTTCGTTAGTTGATAGTATTAACAATAGAATATAGTTGTATAATATAATATAGTTGTCAAGTCACTTCTCGAAATCTGATAAAGAGCACTACACTGTTATTTTCAATTACTCGGCAGAAAGTAATTATTACCGTTGAATACCATCTTTTCGAAGCATTCACGCTTTTTCCTTGTCTCTATCATCATTATTCGAGATCATATTTCTGTTCTAATTTTTCATTACAATAATAATTACGAATAAGAATTGAAGACCGTCCCGCAGTGGACTGATCGTTAAGACACGGTTCCCAGCAATTAACCGAAGTCAAGCATCACTGGCTGCGGTCAGTGCGCGGGTGGGTGACCACTTGGATTAGTTTGCATAGGGACTGAAGGTGTGCGTTATTGGTCCTCTTTAAACTGTTCTACCTTAAAGTGCTCGACTCCGCGTGCAGGTTGTCGGACTACCGAAGCGGGGGTGCCATCCCCTCTGCAGAGGATCAAAAATTGTGATGGCATGTCTTCGGTTCATCCTCAGGGGTGTTTCCCAGACCATCGCCAATAGCCCAATGTACAGCTCTAGTGCGACGTAAATAAACTGCAACAACAATAATTGAAGACCTTCCGTTTATAGCATTCACACTTCATCCTTGCCCCTATCATTATAATGCGAGATCATATTTCTGTTCAAACATTTTCAGATTTTTCCTTACAATAGTAATTTAGTATTCTGTTATTGCGCAATCGCCTGTCTTAGAGATACTTATTTCAATAATTCAACCAATTGATCAAATTGTATAATAATTGATAAATTGCTTTTAAATTTAGAAATCTTATTGAATTATTTCGTACTGTTTACCTGCCACTGAAAATTTTATGACAAAAAAGTATTGTTGTAACCTCTATTTCAGTCAGTGGTTCATGTATCTACATCATATGTTCGACGAGAAGATGATGGTTATGTGCTGGAGCGTGTTCCTAAAATGAAAGTTACGCCAAAACAAATTTTAGATGCCTTAGAGTAAGTATTTGGTTCCGCAACCTTAACCAAGTAACTAATGAAAAATCTTATAAACCTTTGATTTTTCAAGAAATAAATACTAAATTTTCCAGTTATATTCTTAAAGAGAGAGAACTTTGTAAATATTGTTTATAAACTATTTTTAATTTTGTTTGAAATCAATAATTGTTATTCCACTCAACAAGACAATAACCAAGTAAAAATAATATGTTTTACAGAGGTCATTATGCTTGAAAATAAAATATTCTAGGTAGCTCTTAAGAATTTTAGCAGCTGGGTGATTTTAGTTCATTCTTAGTACATTTGCAAGGAATTAAGAAGAATAGGTCAAGTTTTAGGCTTCCATCTTAAAACATAGTTGCAATTGCTGTTGGATGGCAACTTTACGTTGGTTAGCTAAGTTGAGTTAAATAATTTTTTTTTAAAAAATGAGCTAATTCAGAAATCGAAACAATCAATAATTAAACTTCATCTAAGTTAATTTTTGTGATACATGTTTTAAAATTTTAAGTTGAAATTACTTTTAAACTAAATTTGGGTATCTCCAATACTTCAACACTGTTACATTTTAACGCTTTGTAATATATGTTTTAGTCAGTATTGTCTATTCCTCTACATGTTGTGGTCTTCTCTTATTTTCTTTTTTTTCCTTTCGCAGTTGAATAAGTATAGCATTGAGATTTTCCGCTGTACAGTATAATAGCTAAATTGTACTGAAATGAACATAAGCTATGATTCGATCCTGGATTCAAACTAAAATAGCTTAATGCAATCATTCTTTCGCAAATTAATTAATTAAACAAAAACTTCAGTGAATATCATATGCACTAAACTTTTGGTATTCTAGGTGGATGGATCCAGGCAGTGAACAAGCTGTGTGTGACTACTTGCTGGAGGGTAAATTAACAACATATTTAGTAACTAAAGCACTCGGTGAGATTGTTGTCGAAGAAAACCGAGGAGATTTGCCTACTGCCATTGTTAGGCCTTGCAACATCAGTCCCACTTGGAAAGACCCATTTCCGGTAAGCATATTTTAATTTAAAGATAAAAATACTCTAAGATATTGCAGAACCCCAATTATCCGAAGCCTGATCATTCAATATTTCTGTTATCCGAACTCCTTTCAAAGTGTGTTAAAAGTGTTCCGACAAATGCTTCATTATTATTACAGCTGGTGTTTCCAAATTACTTTTTTAATGAAAAATATGAAATTTGATCATTAAAAAAAGGCAATTTAGCAAAAATAAAATGTTACTCTAATTTTTTAATAATCTTTATGATAGAAAAATAAAATACAAGTGATATTTTTTTAAACTTTATTTTAGCTACTATAGATTTAAAGTAATTTCACTCATGATGTTTATACTCAACGCTTATACACTATAAAGCATCGACTTGAGAAGGTCCCTAATTTCCATTTTCCGACATACACCTACCTGGTCCCTAAGATGTCAATTATTCGGAATTCAACTGCATCGGTAAAGCTATTGACTATCTTAGCAATACTTACTAGTAAATTAGCATATTGAAATAATTTAGTACCATTTTTATCGAAATAGATAATCAAGATCCTTATGTAACTTTATTTAAATGGGACAATAAAATACATTCTATTAAGATGGATATATATCCTAAAAAAATTATGTAAATCTCAGATATCTCCATTATTACACTCGTATATCTCTATCCTAATTCTTTTCTTATATTATTTTTTGAAATTATATTATATCAAGGAAGGGATTGAATTACTTTAAATTGACAGATTTTTGGTACATACTTGCTCATAGATCACCATATTAAAATCCTTTATTCCCTTTCTTTATACAAAAATATAATCAGATACAAGATCCTTATATATCTTTGTTTAAAGGAATAAGAAAATACGATATAAAAAATGTGTTTTAAGATGAATATATTATCATTAAATTTGCGCGAAATCACTCAATGTGTTTGAAATCTCAGATCTTACTATCGACATTCAATTTCCCTCCTTTTTTTTCCTTTCTTCAATTTTATCATAATTTACAAAGAATCTTTAGAAAAAGGAATCTTTAGAAGAATTTCAATTCTCTATTTATTTTGATTAAACTAAGAGTATTATTATTAAATGAAGGAAAATGTTTTCTATTTCCAGGGTTGGGTTGATTCAGTCCAAGGAGTTTCCGGATTAATGTTAGCTGTAAGTATGTTTCAAAATATAAGTTTGAAAACTATACATTTCATATGACTGTAATATCAAAAATGAAACAATTATTATTTTTCTAGGGTGCAAAAGGCGTCTTACGAACTCTTAGGTCTGTGAGAGGATTAAAAATAAACCTTATACCAGTTGATATAGTCGTCAACAGCATGATTGCAAGTGCTTGGCATGTAGGCACAAAAAAGTAATTTTTAGTTTTTAAAGACTTATAAATACCTTTTAGGTATGAATGGAGGTTATACTTTTTCATCGAAATACGGATGCTGCGACTGGTCCCCATAGAGATTTTTCATATTTTTATTTATTTGCTCTGGACAACAGTGTTTGATTTTGTTACATTGATTTATCAATTTCATCTGTGTTTTGCGCAGCATAACCACAATCAGCTACACTCTTGTACCATTAAACTTTATAATCAAGCAGTCCTTATAGTATGAACATTAACTATTTTTGGTAAACATGCTAATCAACTTATTCGTATTTAAATATATATTCTTCTTCTTTAAACAAATCTTTAAAAAATGACTTAAAAGCAAAGTCCCAATACTGATATTTTAAAAAACAATAAGATATATTTTTAATATGTAGGTGTTTTTTAATTGCTTGATGTGAAAGATAATTAAAAAATAAAGGAGAAAATCCATACTCAGTTAAAACATTTACTTTAGGGAAACTCTGAAAATCCATGTTTTCTTGAACAATGCTGATAAGTTAAAGAAGATCAATTATTGATGAATAAAGATCCATTTTTCTAAACACCGATTAAAAACTTCGATCGGCAATGATTTCAAGCTGGTATGATAGCTCAAAAACTCCAATCATATCACTATGAAGGGACTTTCAGTTTGTTAGTAGCAAACAATATTTAGTTTAACTGACTTCAGTCTCAGAAATAACCCTTAATTAATAAACTATATCAGGGATGGCGAACCAATGGCACGCGTGCCATTTATGACACGAGACACAATATTTTGGGCACGCCACCAATCACAATTGTTATTACACAAATATTATTACACTATGAAGCATATGTAACAATTAAATTAAAATTCACAAAAACAAGCAAAATAATAATCAATTATTAATAAAAAAATAAACATTTAATGCTAAAAAAACAGTTAATAACCATAAAAAACAAGACAACAATAAATTACTAGCAAAAAAAAACAACAGTCCTGCTTGAACTAACATCTTACAACCTAATATAAGTTATTTGTCATCTAATCTGCAACAACAGAAGTCACACTGATGTTACTTTAAGTTATTTTAAGATATTGCAAAATATATTTTTTTTTCAATGTAAATAAAGAGTATTTAGTATTATTATTTTCTCAATAATCACGAAGTCAGAATTATTTGACGGCACGTCTATGACCTCATTAAACAATTTTTTAGAAAAATTGGCACGTTGGTGTATAAAGGTTCGCCACCCCTGAACTATATATTATGCGACTGATGAGGGAAAAATGTTTTTGAAAATAACTTTAAGTATTAAACTTTTAAGGTCTTATTTATTAAGCATTCTATATACTTCTCAATTCTACTTTCGAGCATCCAACGAATGCTTTTTCAAGGATTGACTCACAATTTAATCTTTCATTATTCAATTGATACGTCGATAATATTCATATAAATAAATTCTAATTATAACGCCAAAAAGTTTAAAGCCTTATTCTGTTACCATATTACATTTGTTTCACTCGACTACACTGTAGAAAATTCTGGATCAAAATACGCTATAAAGTACCGGCATTTATGGTGCATCATCTGTAAAATCTATTTTTACCGTAAATATTATACCGTAATTTTTGCAGTAATATTTATTCAATTGGAATGATTCAGTTACTTTACGGTATAATTATTACAGTAAAAATTACGTTATGTCAGATTTTTTGTTCCGTAACATTTTTTTTCTCTTTCCAATGCCCACCTGTGTTAACATCCGTTAATTCAGGCATATACAGAGCGATTTTTGTTGGCCTCTCTATCAGGGGCACCATATTAGGTCGACCAACGTCGCTCCCACAGTGAGGACAGATAGTACAGGAAGGAAAGAACGTCCATGCCTAGCCCGGGATTCGAACTCAGAACCTTTCTGATGCAAGGACAGTTCCCTGCCACCTACACAGAGCGGTCTGCTGTTCCGTAACATGTTTCGGCAAAAGTGTGTTTTACAGTATAAAGTTCCGGCACAAGGAGTGTCGGAACTTTTTACCGTAATTTGATCTGGAATTTTTTACAGTGTATAAGATTGAAAACAATACCAGAAACCAACTTCTCTAATTATCCTGCAATTGCAGGAAAAGTAGTGAATTTTATTAGCTTTCCTTCTGTTAAAATTGTGATCCTTAATCTCAAAGAAAAAGAAAATCCCTCTTACAAATAGTTTTAACATAAGTTTTATAAGTTTGCCATATGAAAATGTTTTTGCTATATTTTTCTTTTTAATGTATTAATTAAGTTCTTATTCAATCAAGTCAACTAACTGATAGGAGAATTATCAATTCATACTACAGCCTTATTCTCATCAATTTCTTTATCTTATTATTACTGTTAATATTTAAATCCTTTTCATTGTAGGCCTGATAATGTTTTTGTAGTGAATTGCGTGATTGACTATGATAAGCTTCCTGAAGGTGATACAGCTATTTTGCAAGTTGTGTTGAAGAAAAGAGACGAATATCCTTTGGCAAATGTGTTTCGATACCCGGATTTTACTATACACTATAATCCTATTGCCTATCACTTCCATGCTCTTTGGGATCAATGGATACCAGCAATTATTGTCGATTCTCTTCTCTTCATATTTACTGGAAAGACAGTGTAAGTTGCATTTTTTATCAAACATAAATTCAATCAGCCTACTTTATTTACACTGAAGAGCCATTACATTATGACCACCCTCCATCTATAACAATGTGCTCGCCCAGGTTTTCATGGTTTCTCACCCAGGAACAATGTTTTCATGGGGCACATTAGGACCCATAATCCTCATAGAACAGTCCCTGACGTCTGTAAGCTACTTGAACATAGTTGCCGACCAGGTTCACCCATTCATTGCAACAATTTTTTTCCTGCGGGGGATGGTGTTTACCAACAGGATAATGCACCATGTCATAAGGGTCGAATCGTCATGGATTGGTTCGAGGAGCATTCCAGTGACTTTCAAGTCATATTTTGGCCCCCAAATTCACCTGACCTTAATTCAATAGAGCATTTGTGGTCCTACTTGGAAAACCAAATTCGTGCTGCCACGCTACCCCCTCGCAATGTGAGGGAATTGCAGGACCAGTTTGGTGAGCGCTTGGTACCAGATACCTCAGACTACCTATCAGCACCTTTTGGAATCAATGCCACGGCGGGTGCTAGCAGTTTTGAGGGCTAAAGGTGGTCCTACATGTTATTAGCAGGGTGGTCATAATGTAATGGCTCTTCGGTATATGCTTTATGCAACTAATTCAAAAGTTCTGGAGGTGTAAAAAAATCAATGATTTTTTTCTTACTAAAAAAATGAAGTAAAATGAATTAAATTGTTTTCTTTCTCATGTAATGCACCGATTGTGAATAATTTCACGAAAATAAATCTAGATAAAGGAAGGAAGTCAACAGAAAAAAATGGGTGAAATCCAATTTTTTCTTAAATTTTATTTCTTAAAACATAATAAATGCGTATTTAAGTTATAATATTATACAGGTTTTAGTGATGGTAGCCTACAATTTCATCACTACTACAAGCTCAAATTGTTCCTTTTTAGCATAGTCGTCCTCCGACATCTGCTCAGTGTTTTATCTCTGTGGTATAGCAATACCAAGCACACAGCTTACAGATTAAAACAAATAGAAATTTGTTTCGCAATAATTAGAAATTAAGTAAATTTTAAAAATATTTCAGCAAATACTTAAAACAATGCAATTTTTTTAGTTTTCTGACATATTTTACACTGTCAGTCACCGGGAACTGACATTGCCTAAGCAGAAAGTTCAGTGTTCAGCCGCCGTTGACTGACACGGCCTAAACGTAAATTTCAATTTCCGTCATCGATGACTAACGTGTTGAATACATCAAATGTTCGAGATGTTGACGTTTTTACTAATATTTCTGATTTTTATTTTTTAGTTTGATAAAAGTATATAAGAAGATCAACTTCCTATATGGAATTTTTCACAGACTAGGAAGAACACCTTGGATTTGCAAACTTGAAAACTTCACTGCCCTTCGAAAGAGTCTGCAGGATAAGGATCAAGAGGTAGGAAATTTCGAAACATTATTCAAATCAACTATCAGACATAACATTACATAAATGTTTTATTTGTATTCTGTCTTAATAAAAAAAATCCTTTTGCGCATTTAAACTTTTACTGTTACAAAAATGCATATTATTTATTGGACAAGTAGAAAATATTATTCTTAATATTCTTGACATAAAATACACCAAAAAAAAAGAACATTCTGAATAACTTTTGATCCAATGATCATATTTTCCCGTTCTGGGACTTCTACTCAATGGGTTGAGAGCCTAACCTTAAATATTTAAGTTAATTAATACAAACATTATTTTGCGTTGCGAAATCAAACACGAAAATATACCTCCTCTACCTTAACATACCTTTTTTCAGACGGTTTTGGATTTTTGATGCACAAAATATTGGAGGTAGCCTCAAATATTGCTACGATATTTTTGACCAAGAGAGGAGTCGAAAGTTTGAGCCCCTTAATATTAATTTCTCTTTCTACGTATTTGGTTATAACTTCAAAACTAATTCAGCAAATCAAACCATTTTTGAACACGATTATAAAATGGGTTTATTTAAAGGCAATTCTAAGCGAGAAACAAGTATTTGCAATCACCTATTAATTTCCATCATTATATATAATATTTAATATTAAAAAAATAATAATAATGAATATTAATCATTAGAATATTTAATTTGAAAAATGCGAAATTATCAACTACTTGCTGTTTTTTAATCTTTTAATACTTTTTTATTTCCTATAAGAAATTAAGTACATCAAAAATAAGTTCCCTTCGTTTGAAATAACATCAGTGCTTAACGAGTGTGCATTGACATGTGAAAGCGTGCCTGAAGTGATTAATTATCTATTTTTCGTAATGGCTAGTTTAAACAATAGCTAAACGTGATTTTTAAATATGTAATTTCTGTTAACGCTCAAGCTAGAGTCTCAGGGCCACTTTTGACAAATCAGTGAAGATTTGCACACAGCCAATTCGAAAAATTAGTAACGTTATAGCCATATTTCTTTTTAAGTTAACGTTAAAAGCAGTTGCTAGGAAACGCTACAAACCACTGCTTTTTTATTTATTTTTTGCTTATTTATTAATTTTTTTGTATCAAGCTACTCACTACACCATTTTTTTTTAAAAAGTAGCACATTACACTACTAACTACGAAAAAAAGTAGCGACTACAGTGGTTTCACTACTTGTGCCCTACTTTCGATCACTGGACAATGCCTGGATCACCCATAACAGGGGTGTCCAACTGGCGACCCGGGGGCCGCATCCGGCCCGCGGACCCTTTTTTTGTGGCCCGCGAGCTAAAATATATTAGTTGTCATTTTTTGCGGACAATTTTCGTAAAAAATCTATATGGGTATAAAATGCTTTTCTCGTTAATAAAAGTCTAATTTCTACGTTTCTGTGAAATTTAATATACCAACGGTGCAAAAAATTTATTTCTCAGGTTTTGCATCCAAGAAAATATTTATTCAAACACAAAAATAATTGTGTATGTTGCTCTTTTCCATTTCATTTTTTTGTATTTTGTGAATATAATTTAGCATGTGCGTATCAGAAATTTTCTCGAAGAAATTCTCCAAGTTAACTTTTTGAAACCACTCATTTAGGACGAAAATATTTACACGCACATTTGTAAATTTTAAATGTAAATATTTATTCTCTGGTGGTTGCAAACCTCAATTTTCTCATTGAACATTTTGTGTGCTACTATGTAAGCTTTAATACCAACCTTTTTAAAGTTTTATATCTTAACAATTAGATGTCTGTCGTACATTAATTCTTTAATACATAGGTGCACATTAAAGTTATTGTGGCCCGAATTTTTATTATTTATTTAATACTTTAAAAATATTATTAATAACAATGAAATATTTTTAAAAATCTACTTCTTATTTTAATTTGTAATTCAATACTTTTGTTTTGTACAACTTGATAAAATTCTGACAGTAATATTTAATGTTCCTTCAAACATAAAAGAGTCCTACATAAAATTTTGACAAAGTTGCGGTCCGCCATTTGATTTGTGTTTTTAATTGTGGCCCCCGGCCTCATGTAAGTTGAAAACCCCTGACCTATAATATTGAAATAGACATGATGGTTCATATTAGTGACCATTTGATTTGTGTTTTTAATTGTGGCACCCGGCCTCATGTAAGTTCAAAACCCCTGACCTATAATATTGAAATAGACATGATGGTTCATATTAGTGACCATTTGATTTGTGTTTTTAAGTGTGGCCCCCGGCCTCATGTAAGTTGGAAACCCCTGACCTAGAATAATGAAATGGACATGATGGTTCATATTAGTGACCATTTGATTTGTGTTTTTAAGTGTGGCCCCCGGCCTCATGTAAGTTGGAAACCCCTGACCTATAATATTGAAATAGACATGATGGTTCATATTAGTGATCTCCTCAGTGAGCCGACCCTATTCCTAATAATAAAAATACCCTTAAAACATCACAAACAAAACTTATGAAATGTTGTATTTCATGATTACTCAAATAAATAAATAGCAATATTTAATTTTTTATCCAGAAAGTTTAACCACATTTAAAAAAAAAAAGATTGTTATCGGCATCGAAAGAAGTTAAGAAAATGGAGATTCAAACAATGATAAAATAATTTTTTTTTATATATTTTAGCTCAAATACTGTAATTTAACAGAAATTTTGCGTCTGAAATAAAACACAATAATGAATGAACAGTTTTGTTTGGAATATTAGTTATTTACGATTTCTTTTACCTTTATGATTATTTATAATTTAAATCATATTTTATTATGGCGCGCAATGCAAAAACAGATAAAATATTATTTTATTTTTATGCTAGATATTTTTCTTAAATGCCGATGATATTGACTGGATTCAGTATATGGATGACTGTTTGTATGGTGGTCGTAAATTTTTAGCTCATGAACCTGATTCAAACATTCCTTATGCAAGAAAAAAGGCAAAAGTGTAAGTGTACATTGACTTTATTTAAATTGCTTAAATTTAAGCAATTCTGTTCTGTGCTTATAGTTTTTAGATTATCTAAAACGATTGCAATATGTTTAAAAACATTTAAATTTTAAAACAGAAATGAAAACCTAACATATTATAAAAATAACTAAATTAGTTTTCATAATTATTTATCTCACAGCACTGAAGCAGCTTTTACTTTTACAAAGTAATTCAATCTGAAGTCAGAGCTAAGTTATTAATTACAGTATCGATAAAAAATTCAAGTGAAAATTATTAGTCTATTTTGCGAATACTCCAGAATATTGTAAAATCCTAAAAAGTGAATGAACCAACTCGTTCGCAAAATTTTATTTTTTTGAGAATTGATTATGAATAGTCGTAACAAATGAAATAAATAAATTAGAAAGAAAAATACTCGAGTACCAAGGACACCAAGATGGAAGGTCACGGAACTTCGCTGTGGCCCCCCCCAAACATTTTCACTATTCGTCACATTTTGCCAGGCTATTCGGCATATTTACGAAAATTCATTTTCTCTTATGTAATTTAGAAGACACACATGAAATTATCAACAACGCGTCTTCATTTGTTTAAATTTCAAATTTATTTAGAGACATTAAATTGTAAAGCTCTGGGGATTGGGGAGCAATAAATAGCAGAGGGCGTAGCCTTTGATGAAATTAAAATGAAATATATAAAAATTTCAAGACATACAAATCGGATTTTTAAATAAAACTTAGGAGAAAAGAATGAGAAACTCGCTCGGCAGGAACTGCGTCAGAAATTTCGGGGTTTAGCGATTGATAGCAAGTAGGAGGTGGAGCCTACTTGCTATCAATCGCTAAGCCTACTACCTCTTGTGATTATAAAAGAAAACATTAAGAACTCTGCACCGGCAGAAACTACGTGCCCATTAAATTACAGGGATAAAGGATCTTACAAAATCCCCTTCCCATAACAAATCCTCTCTGGGGGTACTGGATTGGAGATCGTGCTTTCGTCCAGGTCTAAATTACGATCAGTAGATGGATGGATGGTGTGGGAATGTGTCCTCCATGTAAAACGGGATGTGATGTATGTATGTTGTCGCTGGATCATCCTCAGGGATGCTTTCCAGACCGTCGCCAATACCCCGTTGTGCAGCTCTCGTGTGACGTAAATGTATGTACTTGTACGAAATCCCTTCGATGTTACGAGATAAAAAGGTAAAAATTAATTCAAATTGCGGATTATCAATAGTAATTTTAAAGTATAATTTTTATTTCATCTGTTTTATTTTATATATTGAATTATTATTAATAATTATGAATATTAATCGGGAAAAATTAGGCCTGACGTCACGTTTACTATATCCGCATCTACTTTATTATTGTTAACTTTTTCGTAGCAAAAAAGGACTTTTCGTAGCTAGTACAGCAGAATAGGCTTCTTAACTATTTTACATTTAAGAATAAAAAAAGTTCTTCTTTCAAAAAAGTTACATAGTAAAAACTTTTTAAGTTTTCATGACATTTGAAAACAGTAATAAAGCGTAATTTCACTTTTTCATTTAAGTAAAAAATAAAAATAAAAATTCCCCCCAAATAAAAATAAATTAAAATTAAAAATTTATGGTAAAATAAAACTCTTTTTTTTCTTTTCCAGATGGTGGTTCGTAACAACAGTGATGAAATGGTGTCTTCTTTTCTACATTTTCTACTATTTCTTTTATGAATATGTTTCTAATATATTTTTTAAAGACGACAGCCAGCTTTCTATAAATTCTTGAACGAGTATTTTTAATTGAACTTAGTTTGATTAATAATTCCAACATTAAGTGTTTTAACACTTAAGAATATAAAGTTGTTGGTTACATTATGCTTATGTGCACATTTTTATAATTCACTATACATATTTATAAAAAGTTGCTTATATAAATAGCGCAATATTTTCATTGTTAATTTTGCTATGACCACTAAGTTCTATGATGTTTGCAAAAGTTTAATTCAATTATATTTACCAATAAAATATTTAAATCTATTTATTTTTTAGTTTTATTTTTGCTTTATAATATTCTCACATAACACTCAATAATTCTTTTTCTTTTCTTTTTGTGAATTTTTTTTATCTTGTTATGGGGATGTATAGTAATTTGAATAAATGGATATTTGTAGTCAGTATCGTATTTTTAGTAAGGGGTTTATTCTACTGATTTTGGATTCATGTTAATTACTTTTCTTTTTTAAGGTTTCGGTTGCCAGTTTAACCCCTTTACGACCGAAAAAAACACCGAATCACTCTAACTCAATCTTTTAAACAACAACATTTCGATCATTAATACAATTATTATTGCAGTAATTAAGGATTCCTCAAACTGCATATTTTTATGAGAAAACTATTTTTCATTTTATCATTTTGTTTATTTGGAGAAAAATTGACGATGCAAATTAGAGAGCCACACAGGAGCTCCTTACCTTCCAAGGACGCTTAACCAAAGAATATAGAGAAAGAATGTAGACAAAGAATATATTCCTCTGTATTCTTTGGCTTTCCTAGCTCGTCTACTCTTTCAAAATGTAATATTTATTTAAATTGAAGCGCCAAAAGTTCAAAAGGGTCGTAATTTGCGATTCTTATTGGCAATTTGATAGCTAGAGTATTTCTTGTGAATCAACATAACAATCTTTGTAAAAGAAAAAAAAACTGCAAATGTGTTATACGACTAATAGTACCAATTTTTTCAGGATCTAAGACATCTTCTTAGGTAGGATCTTCAGAAGCTTATCACGATGTAGTGCAGTTTTGATTTGAGTTTTTTCAAGATTTTTCTTCATTGTTTTTTATATTAATTATTTTACATTTCCTTCCTCATTTTGAAGATCCAAAAGCTAAGTTTTTAAGATTGTTTCAACGCGTCTATCCATTCTTGAGAAGATTTCAAAAATGTTTAAAAATCCATTAATTGGTTTCTCAAAAATGTGTATCCCTCTGCCTATGTAATGTCTACGAGACAATATGTAAACAGGCTTGATATTCTAGGAAATCTTATTAATGAGACTTGAATTTAAATTTGCAAGTAGTCTTACTATTCATAACATTTTTCCGTAATTTGCAATTCTAAAAGGTTATGGGACATGAACTAATTTAAAACTAATATCATTATTTACATATAGTGTAAATGTTGCCACGTTTAGAGTGTTATCTTCAGTTTTTTATGTCTTCAGCGAAAGTTGCAAACATTAGAATAACATTAAAAGATGGCCTGTTTTTATGCTTAGGCGTAAAAATGAATCAGAAGTAGTAAAGCAAAGGGCTCTATAGCAAAGGGCTCTATAGCAAAGGGCTCTATAGCAAAGGGCTCTTTACCCTTTCCATCATCTTTCCTTTTTACGTGCATCCAAATTTCAAGCATGTCGAGATAACTGTAACGTAATATCTAAAGTGTTAATTCAAACTAAAAAATAAATTTTACATATATAGTATGAAAAATATAATCTATGAAACAAGTATTACCTTGCCTTGCAATAAATATCGCTTTTCAATGAGCTTTCTTTTAATCTTAGCAATTTGCACAAAATTATTACCAAAAATTCATTCGTTTGCTTGACCAACAAGTGTGAGATTAGAATTAAAATATTCATAGAACCGCTAACTATGCTATCAACGCAACGACACAACAACCCAGAAATAAAAGTATTGCCAAATAAGCAATTTCTTAGAAAATTCGACAACAGTTTCTCTTATTTTGAAAATCAAAATCTAAATTATTCTAAACGTATTCCTTTAACTCCAGGATCAGTCTATATAATAGGTACCTTATGAATAATGATAAAATTTGACGGAACTTTTCTGGGTGGGTTTGCCAGTTTTTACTTACATTTATTGTATTAAAATCCAACATATATTGTAAATTTTTACCGTTAACGCCAACTGTCATTAGCTTTATGCAATTCTCCATCTATGGCCAGTCAGGGTCGACGAAAGGGGCGAACAAGGCGGATGGTCGCCCGGAGCACCTGGTTAGAGGGACGCCGAACGAGACCTAGATTTATTGCTTGCCTTCGTATGCCTGTTAAGGCAGAGGGGTGCGAGTGCGATTGTTCTTGTTTTCCAGTTTCGACATCTATGGCCAAGAATTCGACTTCTGCCACACCCATTATGTTTCGCCTGTTTATAGGGTGATCCCATTCATACATCCATTCACTCATACACAGGTCGTAATTTTGACCTAAATCAGAGAACGATCAATCTCCAATTCAGTATCCCCAGAGGTATTGATTTGTTATGGGAAAATGGAGGACTCTGCAACTCGACAAATTTAACGTGCATCAGTCACCATTTTACTACTGTCTTCGGCCGGCGGAGTTCGAACCCGCGAACTCTCGGACATGGGCCCAGAGCCCTACCGACCAGGCTATCCCGTCCCGACCTAGACATATATTTTATAAATTACAAGTTTTTTCTTTTTTTAGAAATGTTATTTGTTTGAAAAATATATTGATAGTTTTTTTTAATCATATATTCTTAGATTAACTTTCTTTATCGTTAGAGTTCTTTACTAAAGATGAAAAGAAAAATGTGCAGAATAAAAGTTCTTTTTTGACAATTAAGTATCCCATTTTCCAGACATTTCCAGTTCCACTTCTCTTCTCTGAACCTTTCAACAAGCAAGGAATGAGGGGGGAATAGCTTTAAGTTTTATGTCTAAGAATAACATTGCTTTAAGATCAGCGAAGAAGCATTTTAACAGCAAGTAAAAGTATTAGCAGAGGTGAATTTATTTATGGGCAAGAGGGAAATAGTTTATAAATTCATAAAATTTTTTGTAAACTTACAAACAGTCAACGACAGCAATTTTTCATTTTTTAAAATAATTTTTAACAAAATTGCGACATAATGAATGCAAATAGCTTTAAAAAATCATTTAAGTGGGTAAAGTTAAAATAAATAGACCACCCAAAATAACTTTTGATCTAATGATCGGATCCCCATGTTCTAGAACTCAATCTTAATAGTTCAAGGGGGTGACCTCAGATATGTCAGTAAATTAGTGCTGACGATATTTTAAGCTGCGAAATCAAACACAAAAACGTACTTTTTTTGAATAAACATATCTTTTTACAATGGATTCAGATTTTTGATCCCAACAATATAGGGGATAAGCCGTAATCTGAAAAATATGGTCCCAATTATTTGGACTGGAGAGCGATCCAAAGTTTGGACCTCTTAATGCTAGTTATATATTTTCTATGCAAATTTTAAAAAAAATTTCACACAATTAAAAAATTCGTTTATCCAAAGAGAATTCCATGCAAAATATAAGTTTTAGTAAATATTTACTATTTTTTATTATATTATTTAATAAGAGTCAAAAAAATTTTTAATTTTAAAATTTTCGACATCTTCTTAAAGAATATAATTTTACGTGGCAAAATATAAAATTTAAACGAAACCGGTCGAAGAGTATCTGAGGAATTAAATTTTTTTTAAAAAATCGTATTTTTAAAATTAGATATATTTCCAAAATTGAGGCTAAAAATCTGAATATATCGAAATAAAAAGGTATGTTTATTCAAAGAAAGTTTATTTTTGTATTTGATTTCGTAACTTAAAATATAGTCTGCACTAATTAATTGGCATATTTGAAGTCACCCCCTTGAACTATTAAGATTCAGTCCTAGAACTTATAAAAGATTCAATCACAAGGTCAAAAGTTATTCAGGGTGGTCCATTTATTTTTCTGCGAACTGTGCGTAAATAATATATTTGAGTACCTTCAATTAATACTTATCAGTTAAGTCTCAACTCTAGATTCTCAATGTGGATGGTGTTTTCCACACTAGGGAATGCTGCAAGCTCCGTACCGCGTATACTTCCGGGTTATTGTTTCCGGTGTATTTTAAAGCCATTTGGCTCACAACGTGATCATTGTGTTTTGAGATTCCTTCAAACGTGGTATTTGATTAATTATAACATGTGTTTACAATGGTAAAGGTGCTAACACTAACGTAAGATGGTGCACAGCTTGTAACAAGAACAAACAGTAATAAACGAATGGAAAGAGGCCAAATCAGGACTGCCAAAAAAACAAGTTATTCAAAATCTAGCAACCATGTCACCTTTTTTAACAATATATCTATAAATAACTAAAGCAAATTTTCACTTTAAACTCACCAGAATTTCTTAATAACATTAATATCTTACGAAATACGGCAGATTTGAGATCAGAAATCAGACTGTATCTAATTTACTTCTTTTACTGAAAACAAAATTATCTATTTGAAAATATCGCTTCGCAGCATAAGTTGTAGTAAGCAGTTGCAAACTTTCTAAAAAAGCAGTTAAAACTTTCTTTCTTCTTCTTCTTTCGTTTAAAAATTTAAATATAACTGGTTGTCATGCCATTTTAATTACCAATTCAATAAATATTGCAATATAATTGACAATTTGAATAAATTTTAAGACTGATTTTAACTTTTCATCGTAAAGGCTCATTTACTTGGTTACGCTTCTTTTAGTTCTTGAACAGTGCCATTAAGCTCAATTTTTCATTAAAATGTATTGCTTAATGTTTCAGATCCGTGTATTCTTTTAACTAAAAGAAATCTATAACAGTTAAAGTTCGTTTCGTTAGGGCAAATAAAAAACTTACAATTGAATTTCATTGGTTCATAATTAACAATGGCAAATAAGTGCGGAGTTTGATTGTGACAAAGTTATTAATTTAATTTATTAGTCATTATTAGCATTTTTTTAGCATATGTTCTACTAAACATTTTAATAACAAATTCCCCTTACGAAAAAATCGAGGTATTTTTGAGGTATAAATGAGGTATTTTTCCAAGGTATAAAGGAGGTTGTTGTTTAAATACGTCGTTAAGTTGAAAAGGGTCCAAATAAATACCTCAAAATTAACCTCAAATATACATCCAGGGGTATATATATATCAACCTGAGGTGTTTAATTTTACATCTGTGGAGAGATAGATATTTACTTCTCTAATTAAGGGGTTTCATTTTCAACCTTAGGTTATTACTTAT